TGACCTCAGGCCACACACAGCCATACCCATGTACACATGCAGTCACATACACACATGTACATACACACACACACACACACACACACACACAAAAAAAAAAAAAAAAAAAAAAAAACCACTATTCTTAGCTCCTAGGAAATAGAAAAGTAGGCAGTGGCCCAGCTTAGTCCCTGGGGAAAGGTAGTTTGTCAACCCCGGAACAGATTGTGGTGAGAGACAAGAGGAGAAAACCAGACCATCAATACTTGAAGGAGGAGCAGTGATGACAAGCTAGACCAGGGCAGCAGTGATGCATGGGTAAGAAGTACTTACTGTCTAAATTTGGCAAGTGAAGCCACAGAGATTTGATGGTGGTTTGAAATCTACGTTTTTTTAAACATTTAAAATTTTGTTTTTAGTTGTGAGTGTGTGCTTGTATGTGTCTGTTTCTGTGTTTTGGTATGTATGCACAGGTGCCCACAGGGGCCACAAGAGGGTGCCAGATCCACTGGAACTGGAGTTACAGGCAGTTAGCAGATGCCCAATGTAGATGCTAGGAACCAAACCTGGGTCCTCTGAAAGAGTAGTAAACACTCTTAACTGCTGAGCCATCTCTCCAGCCCCAATGTGTTTTGAGAGGAGAATCAAGAAGACATCTTGGGTCTTAGCATATTAAAAGTTATATTATAGTCAATGAAACTGTTAAATGCAGCTCTCACTTAAAAGAGAGTAACGGTTTATTCTTGAGCCCAATATGAGTGACCAATATTGTGACCAATATCAGTGAGAATGTAGGGCAACCAAGGTGGGTAATAGCAAAGAGAGGAAATCTTTGGTACAGGTTTCAGATGTCATTGATATTCTTAGCTTTTGGTTAGTGGAAGCTAGTGATCTGCTAATATAATATATCCCAAAAGGTTTGATCCACTAGTTACAAGGATGCCAGTTCAGTTAGACACAGAGGTGGCAATAATTGGCTATTAAAGGACTAAAGACAGAATTGTAGGCAACAGGGCCAGAGTGAATAAAGACACTAGCTGTAAGTGTGAAGACCTGAGTTCTGTCTGGGACGTGACAAAAGGCTGGAACTAACATCTGCAAATTGTCATCTGCTCATGGGATGCTGTGGTGTACACACACACACACACACACACACACACACACGAATTGGTTCTGGAGAGATGGCACTTGCTTCTCTTGCAGAGACCTAGGTTCTCAGCACCCACATGATAGCTCATAACCTTCTGTAACTCCAGTTCCTGGGGACTCAGCATCCTTTACAGGCACTGTGCACACATGGTGCACAGACATTCATGCAGACAAAACACCCATACACATAGAAAGTAAAAAAGAAAAATAAACAAACTTTAAAATGGTTTAAATTACCATCTTAATTTTCAATGTGCTATCCAGTATTAAGTACATTCATAGGGTTACAAAACCACCTCCAGGATTTTGTCAATTTTCAAAGTTGAAACTCTACACCCCTTAAGCATTTCTTCAATCCTCAGGTCTTGGTATTGGCCATTCTGCTATTTTTAAGAACTTCACTACTGTAGATGACTCATTCACGCGGATTCATACACTACCCCTCTTTTGGGAATTGCCTTAACCATTCTATAAAACTTAAGAAAATATTAGACAATAAAATAGGATTCAAATTCATCATTAATGTATTTAACATCTCTAAGTTGTAGTTATAAAAATACAACACATTAAAAAAAAAACTTTTTTAAGTCCTCGGCACTCTCACAACAGGGAATTAGAAGCTGCATTGCTGAGAAGCACCAACCCCACTCAAGCCCGAGGTGGCTAAAAAGCAGAACAGGGGCTGGAGCGGGCTCAGTTGGCATCATGTCTGTCTAGCATGTACGAGGCTCTGAGTTTGAGCCCCAGCACCACATAAACCAGATGTGGTAATACACATCTGTAATCCCAGCACTTGAGAGGTAGAGGTAGGAGGATCAGCAGTTCAGGGTCATCCTTGGTTACACAGTGAGTTTGGGGCTAGTTGAATCCTTGTCTCAAAAAAAAAAAAAAAAAAAAAAAGGTTGAATTAAAAATAAAGGCAAGCTGAAAGCTTGGCCGCTGTGTCTGTTTTCCTTGGGTCAGATCCCTACCTCTTTGAATTGCCATGATAATCACCAAGGACTGTCTATCAACCAGACCCATCCCTTCCCCAGTCAAAGCTGACGGCACAAAGGTAGGTCTGTCCTAAATCTGCAGACACCTCGGATTCCAGGAACAGAAATCCTGCAGGACTAACCACCTCTAAACTGAGAACAGTATCTGTGATAAAGAGGGTCTAGCCTGGAGCAGGGGCATCACCTTATTGGAACCAGATTGATCCCCTCTGAGCTCCAAATCATCTGGTAGAAGTGCCGAGACAATCAGCTAGGCCACAGCTCGACCAGACTGCCTAATCATGCCCAACTGCTGCATCTTCTCTCTCTTCTTTCTAAATAAACAGAAAGTTCAGGTCAGCGCCACAATGGACTTAGTAATCACTGGATCCTTGCATCCATCCATCTTCCCAATGCGGCCATGCACTGCTTTTTACCATTGCTTGTCTTTAACTGGCGTACTGGAACAGGCGGCTGGGCCTAGACTGTTGAGGCTGGGTTTTTGTCCTAAAGCTCCATTACACTGTGACAACTAAACCGATTGGAACACATAATTATTTCTTAGGAAGAGAGGAGTTTTTCCTAAGTATGATTTAGGACTGCTGGAGCTTCATAATAACAAAAAGTACACTGACGTTAATCAGCATTTTAATCATTTATACAGGCCCCCAATAATCTATCCTCTCCTTGCTTGCTCCCAGGAGAGACCACACCCCTCACCCCAGCACACCTGTGCTGCTCAACATGCCAAGTGAGGCAGTGTGATTTCACAGCTTTGGCAGCAGGAGCTACTGATCTCAGATATTTAACTTTGATGACTGGAGTGTTTATCTTAGTTTGTTAGGGCTGTTTAATCACAAGATACAAGAACTGGAAAACTTACAAATATTCCTTTCTCATTGTTCTAGAGATCGGGAAGCCCATGGTCAAGATCCTGGTACACCTAGCATCCTCCCAGAGACCATTCTTTGCAGCAACCTCACACGTGAGGTTCACTCCCTAACTCTCTGGGGTATCACATAATGACAGTGATTAACTATCTTCATTAAGTGGAGAGATCTCATGACCAATTCACTTCTCAGGGGCCCAACTTCAAATATGATCACTTTCATGGTTAGGATTTCAATATAGAATCTAAGAGAGACACAAGACTTTCAGATTCAAATCATAATAATAACCTAAAAAAAAGGGGGGGGCTACACACTACTTTAGAAGTCAAGACCACTTAATTGCACTGGGAAACTTAAACATGGGTTGATTTTAGACAAATCTCCTTTGGGCGAACAAAAATAACTACCCCCCCACCCCGTGTCAAAACAAAACCCAATCTTTTCCAATCTTTAATTCATTTTACTATTGTGTGAGGTGTAAACACTTTAACTACACACTTTGCTGACTCTCACATGAGCAGCAGTGACTTTGCCCTCATGCTTCCAGATTGAATGACTTAGGAACACAGTCGTAGGAACTGTTAGGGTTGAAGCCTGGGCCCTGGCAGCCATAAGCTAGGTTCAGCCACCTGTCCTCAACAAGCCAAATGAAGAGACCAGTATTAGTCAAAGATTTATCCAGTGTGGCCACATTCAAGAGGTCCAGTGACACCCTCCCAAGCCCGTATTTGGGGTCCTGACTTGGTTTGGGTTTAGACAGAGCTAGAGGTTTGTGCTAAGTGTCCGGGGCAAGGTGTGATCTACCCATCAACTGACTCATGGTTTTAGCTGTCCCCTGAAAGGTGGTATGATGGGTTGTTAAAACTTTGAAATCTCTTTCCAGCAGACAAGCTCCCCTCTCTCCCACGGGCTGGCACCAGGGTTCTTCCTTTCCTTTTTCCCAGCACAAGACTCAAGGAAATTCCAATTCCTTTGGGGACTACTGTTTCAAGTCTGGTAGCCAAAAGCAGAGGCATAAGTGTCTCTCTTTAGAATATCTTCCCTCCTGCCAAGATGATTAAAATAATAATAATCTACTCACCTCATATAGAGATCAGGCAGACAGGAGGGATTCTGCCCCAAGTCCAGCTTGCATCATTGATATCTCAATGCCCAAATAACCTGCCACCTCCTACATGCTCTCACCCCCACACTAAGACCACCCTAGGGGCAGGATGATGTGCAGCTGAGGCAGGGGGTGTGGTGACTGCAGTCAAGGGAGTGTATCCTGACCCTTCCCACCCCGACAGGCAAATAGCAAGTCTCATTCCCACTGCCTTCGAACCCTGTCGGTGGGTACTGTTGTACTTACTGTTATTATGGTCGCCACCCAATTAAATCATCATGGCAGCTGAGGTTCTTTTTGGTGACAGACATGTGAAGCAAAGTTACACTAGACCCTAGGGGATGTTTACTTAAAGACATGGAGACAGTAGGTTAGATTCCCAACACCCACATGGTAGCTCCCAACTATTCATAACTCCAGTTCCAGGGGATCCAATGCCCTCTTCTGATCTCTGCGGGTACTGCATGCATGCTCATGGTACATGTATATACATGCAGGGAAAAAAAAACAATCATACACAGAAAATGAAAAATAGTATAGTTCTATCAATTTCAATTTTGAAAAAGCAACTTATTTCGGACATGTAATTCAGGGCATGAAGTCTTCCCACTCTCTGATGCCCATCCTATCCTCTCCTCTCCCTCCTCTGCCTTGGTCGGCTCTTGTTAGCTGCACAGGTCCACCAACTCTCCCTTCTGGGCTTCTTTGTGAACGAACATTTTGGTCTCTCAATCACAGTTTGTTATTTTGATGATTTACTTTTTTTTTTAAAAAAGTCATTTTAAATTATCCAAATTATTTCATACTCAAAACCTTGCCATTGTTATTTCTCAGACAGGAACTCAGGTTACAAGGATTAAATCATAATGTAGGAGCTTGAATTAAATTGCAAAATACAAGAAATGCTGGCAATAAATAAAATATCTTTATTATGATTATTTAATAGTTAAAATCTGCATGTTTCCTTAGATAAAGTAGTTTATAACAGGATAAAAAATTACAAAAAGGCAAGCTCTTAATGATTCATTTGAATTAACTATAAAATCAAAATACTGCTAGTAATTTAATATCTTCTAAAGTAACACAAAATATATTCAATATGTAATACAAACCTCAATAATCCAAATCTCCTAATAAGCAATTATTTACAAACTCTGAACTGAGAGAAAACAGTTTAGCCAGACAAAGAAATGAAATGATGTTCTTAGTAACTTCATTCTATGTAATCTAAGCTTTTGAGAAGAAATACTCATTCAATACAACATTAGGTATATTAACCTTAATTTACATTTAGTTGGTTTGAATTTACCCATCCTAAATGTCTCTGTGCCTGGGAAATACAACTTTTAAACGCACTTAAGATTTCTAAGACAGTTTAACAATTCAGTCTGGCATCCCAAACCCACTACCTTAAAGGTACAGAATTTAACTAAGGGTACAGAATTTAACAATATCCCTATTTTTATTGAACTTTTCCTGTCTAAACTGTATGGTTTTATTCAGTTGTCCATATGCCAATGTCATAGACTAGTAAGCAAAGCAAGCAACATTACTTTTTTTAAATAACATCTTTAATTAAAGTTTTTGCAAGGTAAAATATTAAACTTAAAATAGGTCTTAGTATACATCAAAATACTAAGCTCTTTAATTGTATTCCAAGATGGTCTTTAAAACCTAACACCCCATATATCACAGAAGAGCAACCTTGATCTGCAAGTGTACAGAATGAATTTTACAAACATAATAAATATATTTACGCCCTTACACATAACAGTATGTACAACAGCAGTCGACAATAGTAGCTCCGAAGAGCTAGGGATTAGCCCCTCCCCAACCCGATGCATACCGGACTGATTTAAGGAAGCTTGACTGAATGAGGAGTTATTTATTCAATGTTGTTTTGTTCTCCCCTCAAAAGGGAGGAAGCTTTTGTTCCTCAAAATAAGCAAAAAGGTTAAATTTGATGATTCTTCCTTAAATCATGCATGCAAGAAAGATTAAAGAGAAAGACAAAAGGCAGGCTTCCAGGTGGAAGAATATAAACCAGAATAATTTCCATAGGGCTAACAGATTAAAATCCAAACCTAAGGAGAAACACATGAGAAAACACACAAAACAACCATTTTTTAAACCAAAACATCGGTGTCTGCTGTAGCTGATTCAGACAGGTAGGCAGGAAACATGAAACGAAAATGTACAAAGATCAATAAAATAGCACATTGCACAAAAGCTCCAAAGTTCAAGATGAAGTAATCAGAAAATATAAGAACTTTCTCAAGTGGAGGAAAATGCTGTTATAAAGGGCAAGTTGCTAAGAGGAGATATGTTTGTTTTCTTATACAAGGAATACTTACCCTCTAATATGGTGACATTATTGCTATAAGAAAATAAAAAAAAATATTCTCAGAGGGAGACAACTCTGCATTCGTCCATACAAGCCACCAAAAGAAAATTCCTTGATTTTCAATACAACAAAAGAAAGCCTTTCTATAAAAACTAGTATATTTTACATTGTTTTCTAAAGCCAGAATCTAGTATGCTTGTCAAGAACACATTTCAATCACTGCACACGCTGCATGAGTCATGATGCCAGCGTGACTTTTTAAAAAGGCAACAGTGTAATAGGATGTGTATTTAACAGAAATGTGAACATTGCAGATATAAAAGCCCAATATAAAGATCCCCTCTTGTCGTGTTTGACTCTAGAAACTGCACGTGACAAAGCTGTGTTACTCTAAGAAACCACATGTGCTCCCGGGCATTCCAGTGGTCTGAGACTGCAAATGACCACCAGGCAAGAGTTCGTAGACTGAAAGGCACACATTTCTGCTTTAGTCAGTCATTCAGCGTCAACTGACGTTAGCACTATTGGTATCATGGTATATAAGAGGTGCCATCACTACTGGTACAAATCTCAACAGATCACCTTCTGAAAACACTGCTGAAGACTTCAGTATTTCCAAGTCGGAACTATTTCTACCTTTTGGATAAACAAGCTACTTTCATCTTAAGATTCTGCAAGTGGGAATCCCTTGCCTTTCCAAAGGAATGACATTTTAATAGGCCCTAATGTCATCATCTGGTAAATGTAATGGCAAAAGCATGATTAGGAATTCAAAGCAAGTGACATTTACATAGCAAAAGCTAGTATAATAAAAAATACAACATGCTACTTGATTTAAAAAGGAACACAATATACCAGCATATAAGAGCACAATCTGGTGAGCGGGGTTGTTTGAACCAGCTTCCAGAGTTTTCACAGAGAAAAGCACTCATCCAGGAGGCCATCATTAGTAGGCAACATACAGGTACAAATACAAATGGTTACTTCCTGCTTCAAAACAGTCCTCTGCTGTCACTCTCGTGTTTGAAAAAACAGGCCGGCGTACAATGCTAACCTTCAGTAAGTTTGACTACGAAGAGGGCCCAGGACGTGTGCTGAATTATCATACAGGAAGCCAAGTTTCCGTAGCCTGACAACTACTGATTAGCCCCCGAGTTTCACTGAAGCAACACCGCTGCACTGCCATAGGTAGTTCAGGTCACTGGCTTCACTGAGTAAACACAACCTTCCAGAGACTATACCAAGGGACAACTTAACAACAGAACCCATGGGACTTTACTCCCTCCGTTCTCCAAGTGTTATAATTAAACAGAACTGCGTGTGCTTTGAGAATAGGAGAATAAACAAACTTCCCCCCAAAGGCTACATTAATAATAAAACAAGAAACTGTATTATCTAACTACTATTACGTTAAGACACCACCACTTATACCAAGTGCCACAACATAAGTTGGCTCAGTGGGGTGGTAAGTGGGGAGGGGAATCAATTGCATTAAGAAATTTAAAAATACGTGCTTAAAAAAGCACTATATAACTCACAGTTTTCCTTTTGTAATATACTTTAGTTTATCTGTTACTTCTGGAACTACATAAAGTCAAATTAAAGGAAGACAAAAGTGGAAGACAAAAAAAACCAACAGGCAAGCGAACTTGAATGTAAATTTTGTTAGTCACTAGGACGGCGATAAAGGTGAGCGAGCATCCCCGCAGTTCCTAGGAGGCTGACTCACTGTAGCGCCACACTGGGGAGAGCCCCTTACAGGCACGAACCAGAGCTACATCATCACACACAGTCAATGTCTAGAGTTCTTCATCTACAAGTCAAAGCTCTATACTTTCTTTCCCATGTGCAAACTGGAGCCCAAGTCTAGATCATCAATGGCCTGGAAGGGCTACCCAATGAAAGAGAGGTAAATTTGTATTTAGTGGCCCACCTCCCTCTACCCCCTCCACCCCCAAACTTTCCCCTCAAATTACAAAGTTTTTAAAAAATTTGTTCAATTGAAATAATAATTTCTAAAATTCTTTACTAGTAAACACAAGAAACTTTTATAATTACTAAATTGTTTAATAAAAATCCAGTCCTCACCACCTGCCCTTATGCCTCTTCGATCAATGTACAGAATGCCACCTCAGTGTTACATAAAGACTAAATGCACAGCTAAGCACACACTGTAGCCCCACAAGAAAAACCTTCACACAGCAAGAGTACTGTACAATTTCAGCTCGGTGGTACCTTTGTGAATAAAAACATATTCCTGAAGAGCCAATTTGGGGTTTCTTCTTGAAGTATGGGACTGAGTGCAGTTTTTCTATATGGAAATTAAGCTGTCATTTTAATTCTACTCAACACAGGTAAGACCCAAGTCTTTAAGTTACATTTAACAAGTACGAAACCTAATTAAAACAAGCATCCATTCTTGGGTCAACTTTGTCTCCAAACTGTGACCACTGATCCTTTCTTTAAATCTAAAGTAGATGTTTCATACAGCAGGGAAGCAAGAGGTATGTATTACTGAGGGAGAATAACAAGTAAAAGTGTTTAAGATCTATTATGAGTTTTAAATTTTCTTATACAAGTGAATTAAAATTCAACACCATAATTCTTGCCCTTCTGTAAAAAGCTCACAAGCAATTTGTACCAAATATAACCACATACAATAAGCAGTTTCAGTTCAATCTATCAAAAGGGAAATTTCTTCAGGTCATTCCAACAAGTATCTTCTGACAGCCCAACTTGGAGAAAGGAATATAGACAAAGCTTTACATGCTAATTACCAATGGCAGGTTCCTGTATTTAAAATGGACAGTTACAGTTTCCTACACAAACCCCTCCCCCACCCGCCCGCCCAACAACCCCAGGTGCTACAGTTCCATGGCTTGCCAGTTAGTAGTGTCTGTGTTGTCACGGTCGCTTTGTTCCAGGAGCTTTGCTTCTACTGAGCTTTCTGACATGCAGAAGTGAAGTTTTGGTTGATATATGTTCCAAGTTTCAAACCGTCCATTTTAACTTTTTAAGTTTCTTTTGTCTTACTTATAAAAGGAAAGAAGCAACTCTTCACCACTCTGCATCTCCAATTGCTTTGGAAAATATATAATCTCTTCCATTAAGATTCATAATGCCATCCTTGAGATGAAACTTCCATTTATTTTTACTTCTGTGTATCTAAACAAAAATTGAGAATGCAAAAGATATCATAGGAAAACATAACAACAAAATCCCATTCATAATACATCATGAAATATTATTTAAGCAAGTTCTCATCTGGTAACTTGCTATCATGAAATTATGTATTGGGTATTTGGCTGCAAGTAGGTCTCTTAGGACTTCCTGCTGTTTTAACCTCATATTCTTTTTTCTACAGGTAACAAAAAAATTCCATTTGCTATACGGTTTGTAGTTGAGGGTAAGTCACAATACACAAAATTATCAATAATGTATCAGACTTTAGGTTACTGGTATGCAACTGGACTGGTTTTACCTTTTACTAAGTAAGAACCATTACATTCGCATTCTCCCTATAGATGTTTGATATAAGCACTACTTATCATATTCGTTGTAACAACAAAAATTTAAGATTTCTTTAATCTAAAAGGGAATCTCTTGTAGGATACAAATAATGCATGTTCATTATCACAACTCTAGTCCCCAAGTACTTAGGGCTCCCTGCTTCTCAATAAACATTTCTTTAAGGAAAGAAACACATAGTTACAAAGAAAAATCAAAGTAATATATGAAAGTATTATAAATTTCAAGATTGACAAAGAGCTTACCACTAAGTGACTTAATTATAGCCCCCCCTCAAAAAAAAAACTAATACAATGGTTCTCAACCTGTGGGTCGCAGCCCCTTGGGGGTCAAATGACCCTTTTGTAGGAGTTGCCTAAGACCATTAGAAAACACAATATTTAAGCAATCTCTTAAAGCTCATCTGTTTACTGGTTACTGCTTATTTCCTGGTCCTCTTAGTAATAAAATATAATCTAATTAGGTCTTTTCAGACTCAAGGGAGCTGAAGTTTATGAAGACAAAATTCTCTTAAGAGTTTGTGTCATTGAAAGGAAAAGGGGATGTTTACAAGCTGATGTGGAATGAATACAAAAACAATCATCTCAGGGCTGAAGAGATGGCTCAGCAGTTAAGAGCACTGGTTTCTCTTCCAGAGGACCTGAGTTCAATTCCCAGTACCAACATGGCAGCTCACAACTGTCTGTAACTCCAGTTCCAAGGGATCTGACACCCTCACACAGACATACTACATTCAGGTAAAACACCAATGCACATGAACTAAAAAAAAATAAATTTTTATAAAAAGAAAGAAAAATAATCATCTCTTGCCATTCTACTCATTACTTACTTTTCAAAGGTAATGCTAAGGAATTAGTCTATCCAGACAATCTATGAAGCAAACACAATGCTTTCTTTCACACTGCCTATAAAAAGTAAATGAAGGCAAGCTATGTAGGAGGAGCCCACTTCCAGGTTTCCTAGTAGCTTTACCCAAGAGGTCTGCATAGAGAGGATGACTGGACCACGGTCCTGAGGGCAGGGACTGTATCTAGCAAGGGGGAGGGCTTTTGCTCCACCCCTTGGCATTGTTATAAATAGACCTTTGGAATAAAGTTCAGGCCGGTGGATAAGGATCCAGGCCCACCTGAGTCTATCCTGTGTTCTCTCTCTTTCTCTCCCTTCTATTTCTTTTTTTGTTGTTGTTGGGTTTTTTTGTTTGTTTGTTTGTTTTTCGAGACAGGGTTTCTCTGTGCAGCTTTGTGCCTTTCCTGGGACTCACTTGGTAGCCCAGGCTGGCCTCGAACTCACAGAGATCCGCCTGGCTCTGCCTCCCGAGTGCTGGGATTAAAGGCGTGCGCCACCACCGCCCAGTCTATTTCTAACTAAGTCTCTTATCCCTCAATCCTCAAGAGTTCCTGGGGTAAATAACGGTGGGGGCTGGTGTCCCACTAAGCTGGATGTGGTAGTGTGCACCTATAAACCCAGGCTGAGGCAGGAGTACAGTTGAAAATGAAGCCACCCTGAGCTAGCTAGGTACACAGAGTTGCAGGCCATCTTTAGTTGTTAAATACAACCTGGTCTCAGAAGTACAACATAAAATTAAGTATGGGCAGTCGTCATCTGCCTACATCTTTCAGTAAGGCTGAGAAGATGGTTTAGAGGAGAAACTACAGCAAAAACAATGTCCATGAGTAAAATGAAGTCCTTACCTTATCATATTGGCATACAACAACGTTTTCTGTGTCAAAGAGTTCCTGCCCTTCCTCGTCACTTACATCATCCTCACTGTTGAGGGGTTCCTGCAAACAAAAAGAGAATTTATACCTAGATCTCAATGTATTGCTATAGAGTCTCCAACTAACATTTAGTGAAAAGAAGTACAGTGACCTTGCTGTTCTCTGAGAACTAAGTATCAGGTGTGTCCACACACACTATGGATGTAGTGCTGTCAATACTGAAGGTTTGCCAGTGTTACTTCAGCAAGAAACTCAGTAAAAGTTAAGCTACAGAACACAAAAGAATCAAAGGGGTTAAAATTTATTTCCTTTGGGGCTAGAGAGATGGCTCATTTGTTAAGAGCATTGTCTGCTCATGTAGAAGACCTGGATTTAATTCCCAGCACCCATATGGCAGCTCACAACCATTTCTAAATCTAATCAGGGGACCAGATGCCCTCTTCTGGACTCCTTGGGTACCAGGCACTCATGTGGTAAACAGGCATACATGCAGGCAAAACAGCCATACACATAAAGTAATTTTTAAATTGTTCTTTATTCTTTAATAATTGCACAAAATAGGGAGACAGAGCCAGGCAGATCTCTGTGAGTTTGGGGCCAGCCTGGTCTATAGAGTGAGATCCAGGACAGGCAAAAACTACACAGAGAAACCCTGTTTGGAAAATAATAATAATAATAATAATAATAGCAATAATTGCACAAAATAAATTCTCACCAATAAATGTTTCAGATACCTAGAAATAAACCTGAGAAAATATGAAGGTTGTGTTGTGAGGTCATGGTATTATGCACCAGCAACTGTAAAACAAACCAAAAAACCAAACCAAACCAACAGTGACATTGGAGAAGAAAGCAACGAATACAATCGTTTTGTAATATGGCTTTAGGACTACACTAAAGACCAAATCAGTACTGTTTGTCTTTACAATGACATTATGGTGGAGCTATAATAAATAATTAAGATTTCAATTACTCTTAAATGCAGAGGATGAAATATCTCAGGGCCAAAATAAAGCCAAAGGAAGGGATAAACTAAGGCTAAACTTCCATCTGTACAGGACAAAAGTTTTTAACTCAGCTGTCTAATAAATGAAGGAGGAAAAAGACAAGACAAAACAGAGGTAAAAAGGAAAACTACCAAGAAAGATAAAAGCCTACGTGTATTAGGTGTATGTCACTCAAACATAGGTGTGCATGGATATATACTCTTTAAATGAAAATATCTATGTTAAATGGCGAAAAATGGTCAAACTTTAACCCTTTCAGAATGTACATTTCAAATGCTCTACAGACATTCCTAACGGAATCATCACTGCTATGTAGCTCCAGAGCACTTCCAGAACCTTACTCATAAGCAATCACTCTACAGTCCCTCCTGTCTCCTGGTAACCACCAATCTGCTCTGTGACTTCATGAATTTGCCTATCCTGGATAAAAAAATGGAGTAACACAATTTGTGGGCGTTTGTGCTGTGCTGTCAGGTTTTCAATGTGTACTCAGTACTTCATGCTTCTTTACAGCTAAATGCTATTTTGTTGTATGGATATGACACATTTTATTTGCTATTCACAAGAGACTAACAGACATCCAGGACGCCTATTCTGTTTGGATAGACAGAGTGTTGCCATGAGCACTCATGTACACGTTTTTGTCTGAGCACCTATTTTCAATTCTTCCCTACACGCATTTGCAAGTGAGTCTCGGCAGCACAGGACTAACTCTCTGCTTAACTCTGAGGAACTACAACTACCACACTGTTTTCCGTAAAAGCTGTACCACTTCATGTTCACACCAGAAAAACACAAGTTTTCCGATTTTTCCCAATCCTCACCAATGTATATATACTTTCTTTTAAAATTATGCCATCCTGGCTAGAGAGATGGCTCTAGCACTTAAGAATACTGGCTGCTTTTCCAGAGGACCTGAATTCATTTCCAGCACCCACATGGCAGCTCGCAACCATCAAGGGCAACACTCTCTCTTTTTGTCTTTGTAGGCACTGCATGTATGTGGTACACAGAAATATATGCAGGCAAAACACTCATACACATAATTTTAAAAAAAACAAACACAATTGTAGTCTTCCTAGGAGGTGTGACAAGCCCCCCTAACTGTGGTTTAAATTTGCATTTTCCCAATGACTACAAATGCTTAGTAAAACCACATCTGTTATTATAGTTTCTGATGGTCAAAGGTGCAAGCATATAGCACAACATAACAAGTTTCCCTGTTTAGTCTCACAAAGGTTAAAATTCATGGTATCCCAAGACATAACTTCATCTGAATCTTTGGGTCCTTTTCCAAGCTCATTCAGGTTGTTGGCAGAACTGAATTGCTTAAAGTTTTAACAATGAGACCTTACTTTAGTAGGTGGTCTCATGAGATGAGGGACAGACAGTTCAATGGCAGAATAAAGCAACAAGTTTTAACAATACCCACAGATGCTGCTAATGGTGGCCCACGCCTTTAATCCCAGCACTCGGAAAGCAGAGGCAGGCAGATCTGGGTGAGCTACAGACCAGCCTGGTCTATGTACTGAGTTCCAGGACAGCCAGAGCTACGTAGTGAGACTCTGCCTTTAAACAACAACCATCACCCCCAAATTTAGTCAGGCATGGACAGTGGTGCACAATTTTAATCCCAATACTTAGGCGGTACAGGGTTAAAGGCTGGCAAGGACTACATGAGACCCTGTCTCAAAAACAGTAAATTAAAAAAAAATAACAAAAACAAATACAGAAGAGATTCATATCATCTTTAGAACAAAACAGTCCAAATTCTTCCATAAGGGTACTATTAACATGAGAACTGGTGAGAAGATGGTTGAGAAAAGAAGTTACAGGACTTATGCACACGGATGCAAAACTTCTGTCAACGTGAGTCTGGAGTTACAGGGAGTACATACAACACACAGTGACTAAGCTGTGTCATTGCCAATTAAAATAAATCAATGAAATTCATAAATGACAGTCTGAATCAGAGACTGTGACTATCTAATGGTTGCAGAAAAGCATTTAATAACAAAATACATTTCCTTAGTTTTTTGTTTTTTAAAGCAAAGCACTTGGCTAATTACAAAGAGAATGAATTCCTTCAGCCCTAAAAGACATCCACAAAAAACAACAAATATACTTAATAGTAGACTATTAAAAGCAGGTCCATCTACATAGAAAATAAAAGAATCAACAAAGGCATTATTACAAAAGGCATCATCACGCTGGCTCAATGAGGACTATGAAAAGTTGTATACATATCTCTAACACCAGCAAGCAGGAGGAAATGCAATATAAATGTCCCTTAGGGAAGGATCAAAGCTGAGGAAAGGGTTGGGGCTAATGCTAAGTAAGAATTTCCACATCATCAGGATACAAATAACAAGTAGATAACATGAAAAGAGGCCGAAGCACCTAAGTATTTAAAGAAGTTCAAACTAAACCAAACCAAAACACCATTTTTCTACCAGACTGGAAAACCTCAACAGTCTGCCAATAGCAGGAAGTGATGATGTGGACATCTACAAATTACAGACAAAATGGCAGAGCACATCAGTACAGTAAGTTGCCAAGTCCATGTTCATGTACAATACTGGAGAGAAATACATATGTAAGTTCCCAGTAAAAAACTAGAGGCCACCCAAAAGTTCAATGGATCCAAAAAAGGATAATCAAATAATGGTACAGTCAACGGTAAAAATAATCACAGTTATATGCAACAACCTGGCTGAACCTCAGGATTATCTTCTTTAAAAAAAAAAATGAACAGAAACTATGTTAAAAATATTGCACTTCCACTATTCGTGACAAGCAAACCTCAAGCAATATTATCTTTGGAAACATGAACACGGATTGAAATACAAAGACAAGTTAATGAGAGAGTCTGGCACAGATGCTCTGAGAGCAGAAGGAAGAGGTGGGACAGGGGAAGAACACCAAAACACTTAAGTAATGGAAAAATTTCACCTCAATGGTAGAGGCCAGGACAGTCATATTTTAAAATATTTTATTCACTCTGCTTCCTCAAATATTTAATAAACTATCTTCAACTAAATTATTTAGGAAAAATAAAATGTTTCAGCCCAAACAATGGCTCAAACCTACAATCTCAGTACTTGGGATCGCCACAAACTCAAGGCCCATCTGGGCCAGATAATGAGTTACACACCTGTAGCCTAGGCTACCACGTGAAACTGTCTCCAAAAAACCAAAATAATAATAAATAAATACAAATAAGTAAAATGAAACAATTTTGTATTAAGATTTTAAAAAAGGAAGATTCCATTTTATGGCAAAGCAATAATCATGAAAATTGTGGTGGGCCAAATAATCACCTTGGGCATAGTAACTACCCTGGAGGAATGGAGAAATTGGGAACATGTTTATAGGCGTCAAGAAAAAGGTATGAATATCAGATTACTGAGGACCTGGTAAGAATAGGTCAGAAGATGGCTTTGGCTTGGGCTGTCACATTCAGTTTTTCTCCAGTTTCCTCTCTCCCCAAAAACTGCCATGCCTTTTTAATTACTAAAACAGGAGATAAATTACACCCATCTGTTCTACCAATAGCTTATGCTTAAGCCACGTTACAAATAACTAAGTGCAAGAATTTGATTTGCACGATCCCTATTAATATAATTTCCATTTGGTATACATACCTTTAAAAACTGAGCCTGTGGTGGCTACTGTTACTATCAACTTAACAGGATCTATAATCGCCTAGGAGACAAACCCCCAGGCACACCTATGAGGGATAATCTGGCTCCTGAGAATTCCTCTGATGGACTGTGATGATGTGGTTTTTGAGGTAGGAAGACCCACACTCAAAAGCGGGTGAAACCACTTCCTGGGGTTGGGTCCTGGACAGTGTAGAGAAAGCTAGTTGAGGCCAAGCATCCACCTCTCTCTGCCTCTGAAGAGATAGCATATCATTTGTCTGTTGAGCACTAAACCCAACAGTAAATGATGAGTGGCTTCTCTAGTCAAGTCTCTTTTCTTTTGACTAGAAACTTACTTCTTCCACCTGCCCATCTTCAGCTCCATCTTTCTCTTTATCTTCCTCCTCCTCGTCATCATAGTCTTCTTCCTCATCTTCATCTTCCTCAGATGATGTATCTCCCGTTCCATCAACTTGCAGCACCAATGGAGCTTGCTGCTGAGCAGGCTGGGCCTGTGGCTGCTGCTGGCCAGCTGCAGGTATCTGTGCTTGTGCTGGTGTGGGTGCTGCCACTGTAGTAGGGATGACCTGAGTCTTATTTCCTGCAAATAAGATTTGCTGTGGCTGGATGATGACACCGGTCTGTGGTGAAATCCCTCCAGGAAGTGGGGCTAGGACCTAGGGCAAACAAAACCACCTATTAGCAACTGGTAAGAGGGATCAAGAAACCAGAACCAAACTAATAATAATTCAGTTTTAAACATGAGAAACGTGAATTAGGCTTGGAGGCCTGGTGACGATGATGGTGATGATGATTGTAGTAACATTAATAACAACAGTTCAGAGTAACATTGTTTTGACTACTGTGCACATATAAACTTGTGGGGGGAAAGTGGAGAACCACACAATAAATTCATACAGCTAGAGCAGCAAAAGCAGCAGCAGCAGCAGCAGCAGCAGCAGCAGCAGCAGATGGGTCCCAGAGGATGGTAACATTGCTTTACCTGCTGGATAACAGGAGCTTGTACTCCACCAGGCTGCATCTGTGGTATAACTTGTTGTTGTAGAACAACTGATTGCTGAGGTTGAAAGATATACTGGGCACCATTGGCTGCTCGGACCACCTGAAGAAGTTGGCCTAAGGCAAAAAAAATAAAATAAAAAATTAAAAAAAAATTATAATATATAATTGTGTGTGTGTGTTTGTTTATCTCCAAGTTGCTATTTCAGCAGCAATCAATACACAAAAAAATGACTTTATATTGCTTTCAAGCCAAAGAACCTAGAAATTACCAAGTTAGAAGACTAACCATTTTACTAAGGGTTATCAACTATACATGACAAACTACAATCATTACTGTTCCCAACTTCCTTCTATATCCCAATGTTTTACCATACTTATTATCTTCATTAGCTTCCCCCCCACCACACACACACACACATGCATTGGTGTTTTACCTGCATATGACTGTGTGAGGGTGGATTCCCTAGAACTAGAGTTACAGACAGCTGTGAGCTGCCATGTGAGCTGGGAATTGAACCTGAGTCCTCTGGAAGAACAGCCAGTGCTCCTAACCACTGAGCCATCTCTCCAGCCCCCTTCATTCACTTTTTACCAATACAGCTTTAACAACATATTATAAGATTTGATTAATAAGAAAGTAGGTACAACACTGTATAAATTAATCTTAAAAAAAAAAAAGAGAGAGAGAGAAAGAGATTAGAGAGATAGCTCAGCAGTTCTGAGAACTAGCTACTCGTCCTGAGAACTGGGGTTCCATTCCCAGCACCCACATGGTAGCTCACAGTCAGTTCTAACTCTAATTCTAGAGGATCTGATGGCCTCTTTTGGACTCCCAAGGAACTGCAAGCATGTGATACACAAGCAAGCAAGATATTCATACATGTAAAATTTAAAATGACATCAAAAAGACTTAAAGATAGCCTTAATCACTTCGGCTTACATGGTAGCAGTGAAGAAAGCACAGTAAACAGTATCAGACATTTCAATGGCGACACAAACATCTCATTTATATCTTCAAAGCACAAGGCTTTGCTTCAAATTTTCAACAAGCAATGAAAATTTGCTAAGCCAATTAGAACTGCTGTAATTATGACTAAATAACATATAATATACAGAATAGTCTCATATTTTTCTTAAGAGTGAAGAAAAGCACGCACCAAGACAAAGCTCTAATTGGTTTCTCACAAATTTAGAAATTAACAAAGAAGAAAATAAATAAAATAATGACAGACATCAGTCCATGTAACAGCCTGTCTTCCAAAAGATAAGATGAAAAATATGCATTCAACATTAATGCAGAAACACTATGTCTAAAAGTACACAATGAATCGACTCTTCAGATCCTGTGAAATTTAATTTGGGCATCACGTTGATTCAAATATTTCATTTAACTCATTTGGCAAAACAGATGCCTAGTTTTTACAAAAAAAAAAAACAAAAAAAAAAAACCCTATTTCTATATAATCCCACTTCTTTGGCAAGGTTCTCATTTACAGAATAAAAGATTCATCATTCCCACTTTAATTTTTTTCTTTTTTGAATCAGGGTTTCAGCTGAGCTCAAACTCATTATGAAATCAAGGATGACATTGAACTTCTGACCCTCTGCCTCCAACTCCCAACTGCCAGGATTATGTATGTTACCATATCTGGCTACAATTTTCATTTTTTCAACTGTATCCTCAACAAAGATTACAATTCTCTATCTTATAGCCCTCAAATTATTTTAACAAAGGTTAAAACAAGTGTCAGTATTGTCTCCCTTCAATGGCAATACAACATTATGAGCTACTTGGAGTTCATTTCTGAACAATATTTACAACTGCATTCCTTGTTCTAATTACCTGAATTTGTTAATATCTGTTGAACAGGAGTCACACCTGCAGGAAGTGCCAAGGTAGCAGCTGTAGCAGCAGCACTCTGGAATAATAAAAACAAAGGGAAAAATCATATCTTCATGTACACTCAACAAGACCTTAGCTTATCTGTAGTGTACTTTAAGAGTACATGGAAGAATTGACTATAATGGCACTCTAAAAACAGGATGAAGTTCCGTGTGGCACAAGACAGACAACATAGCCTAAAAAACCTAGTCAAGTATTTCAAGGAACTACAAGTCTGTTTGGTTCCCCTACAGAACCTACTCTAAGCAACCTCACAGCGAAGCTTCTTTCGCTCCCGATTCAAGTTCTCACAGACACGGTCTACTCTGTATGTTTTTAGAAATACATGCACTAGCAGTCATGTTGTGCCACAGAGGAGACCACCATTCCATGACTGTCATCCTTCCACATTTGGCTCCTTACACCCAATTTCCTGCTTCAAGTAATAATACACTAAAGGCCAAAGTCAACCCACTCTTGTTTCTTCATTTTCTACATTTCTACCAGCATCAGCAGGTCTCCCTACCAAACAATCTGAAGAACGTCTTGGTTTCTGCAACTGGCACTTCTTCTACGATGCCACATTATCTCAGAGGAACATGAACACACTGACACAATAGTCTAGGTAAACTTTGTAATAAGCTGAGTATTTCTTATCCCAAAAGCTTGGAGCCAGAAGTATCTCAAACGTCAGGTATTTTCCCCAGATTTAGAAAGACTTGTGTACACATACATACACACACACACACACACACACACACACACACACAATCTATATATCCTGGATATGTGAACCCAAAGGTCTATGGATGCTATTTTTCATTCATACATTTGTACATACACCCTGGATATAATTTCGTAGCCCGTGAGTTTTTTCCCTTTTCCTCTTCTAAGATTAGTCTTTTATGTAATCCTCTCTAGCCTGTAACTCCAGACAGACTAGTCTTCAACTTGACATGATTCTCCTGCCTTTGCCTCCCACGTACTGGGAACACAAGTGTATACCAACATATTTAGTCTTGTTTTGGTTTTTGAGACAGGGTCTTTTTTTTATTTATCTATTTTTATTTTATGTGCACTAGTGTTTTGCCTGCATGTGTGTCTGTGTAAGGGTGTTGGATCCCCTGGAACTGGAATTACAGACAGTTGTGAGCTGCCATGTGGGTGCTAAGAATTAAACCCAGGTCCTCTGGAAGAACAGCCAGTGCTTTTAACTGCTGAGCCATCTCTCCAGCCCCTTAGTCTTTTTTTAAGACAGGGTCTCACTACATAGTCCAGGCTGGCTTCAAACTGGTGATCCTCCTGCCTCTGTCTCCTGAGGGATGGGAATACAAAAGTGCCCTATGATGGCCCCAGTGAGACTTGAGTTTTGACTACAACAGGCAAAATCACTCCATTTATTTCTTCCAAAGATGTCATTTCTCCTCTTGCTTGTCCCAACAGGTTTACAACACTGTTAGCTTCATTTTGTACTTTTAATTATTTTTATGCATCTCACTGTAACTACATTTAGGTAGGGTTTTATTCCCTTAAGCTTACATACTCCTCAAGACACCAACCTGTTATACATTCTGTTTAATGCATAAATTTTTAGAAAACCCACATCTGGATTAAGTTTAGAGAAATGAGTATGTAAGTGTTGTGGAGAAACTAATGTCCAAGAGATCAAAATGACTTTGTGCAATTCAGGCGCAGGAAAGACTGCTCAGTGATCAAGAGCACTTATTGCCTTTGCAGAGGACCCAGGTTCTACTCCCAACATCCATATGGTAGCTCACAACCATCTGTAACTCCAGTTCCAGGAGACCTGACACCCTCTCTTGGGCTCTATAGGTACCTGGCCATGCATGTGGAACACAATTACACATGCAGGCAAGCAGACGTACACAAAGAATTTTTTTTTAAAAATACAAATAAGTAAAAATTAGATTGGAATTACTAGCATTGTGCAGCAATATACAATGCTTCCTAGGTATGAATTAGCAAGACTGGTAGTACACAGGAAGAAGTCATGTGACTAGCAGGTGACCCTACTTCTTATGTGCTTATAAATTACATTTGTGAACTTTTATAGTTCACTAGTTACCACTCAAAAAGTCAACGTGTTTGTAAAAATATTGTTCTTTATTAAAAACAAAAACCTCAATGCTAGCAATACTTATACTGAATTTGAATAATGAAACATTGCCAGGCAGTGGTGGCTCATGCCTTTAATCCTAGCACTTGGGAGGCAGAGGCAGGCAGATCTCTGAGTTGGAGGCCAGCCTGGTCTACAAAGGACAGCCAGGACTACACACAGAAACCCTGTCTTGAAAGCCCCCCCAAACCCGCCCCCCCCAAAAGAATGAAATGAAAGACCACAATTGTGAAACTAACTTTCAAAAGAGCTTACATAGATAGTATAAGAAAATGAGCCATTTGTGATAAGGTACTAAAGAACTGATCAGATGTGTTTTCATGTTTCTTTTCAACACTGAAGATCCAGTGAAGACATTCTGAGAGCTTACAGTGCTTCTTTCATCAGTTCATAGTATCACACGCTGATTCATCTGATAAGATAGATTTCATGCCCCAAGTATGGGGAGAGTACCTGTCTACCTGAAACATCACAAAATTCTACCATAACTCAACTGCACAAAACACATTTTAAGGTATGAATTTAGAGATTACAGTAGAACATACTATGTGTTACATTTAAGTCAGAACCAAGATTCTTTAAACATGTGACTTTAGAAATAGTCTCCTTGAATGGCAACATACTCAAGTGTACATAGGCAGTAAAATTGGATTTGATGGTTTAAAAGACACCCAGAAGACACAAACTTGGGTGGGTAGGTAGAAAAGAAGGGGTGGATCTGGGAAAAGTTGGAGTAGGGGGTGAATGTGATTAAAATACATCTCATGAAATTCTTAAATAACTAATAAAATTAAATAAAAAAAGAAATAGCTATCTTGAATTGTCCAAAACAGTTTATTTTCAACAAGTTTGTAAATCTTAGCATTCCTATCCTCTTACACTTAATTGATTTTCTGAACCATTATTTTATGAACTTTAAGCTATTTTGCTCAAACCTTCCATAATCCTTGAATTGCTAAATACAATATACATATTAGTAATTGCAATTTTAAATTAAGTAAGTAAAGCCAACGTACGTGCCATGTTCAAGTCTTACCGTAATACTTGACGCATTCATATGCTGTATTAACTTAGAATCAGGAACAATAACTTGTGGTGCTGTAGCTACAAAAATACAAAGAAAAAAAAGACACATTTGCAAACAAGGAACCACGAGGATACTTCACAGTCACAGTCATGTTATAAAATACAAAATAATTTTTTATTTTTATGCTTTTGTTGTATTTTGTACATTAAAATACTCTAAACCATTTTCTATTTCAGAGTTTTTAAATTTTTCTATGGAAATCAACAGCTGGGATATATTCATTTTATACTGAAAAACATTAAAATGACAATACCTAGGCCAGGCATGATAGTCCATACCTTTAATTCTAACACTAAGGAAACAGACAGATAGATCTCTGAGTTCAAGGTCAGCTTGGTCTACATAGAGACACTGTCTAAAAACAAACAAACAAATAAACCCTACAACATCCTTTTTACCGTCTTGACAACTACCACAATCATGGCATTCTAATTATTTAGAAAATACAAATCAAGGGGCATAAGTGCTTGCTGCATAAGCATGAGGACCTGAGTTTGAATCCCCAGGACACACGGAAAAGCCTGCTACATAGACAGCATGAGCACTAGAGCACCACTGCTCCAGGCGGCGGACGGGGAGCCCTGAGGGCAACCACAGGGGCACTCTAAGGAGCTTGAGGACAGCTAGCCTGGTGAATACAGAGAACAACAGACACCCTGTCTCAAACAAGTGGAAAGCAAAGATCAAGACTCCAAGTTGTCTTCTGACTTCCATGCATGCACCATGGTACAAGAGCACCTACATCTGTATGTGCACACACAGGCATCACACACACTATTCAGAAACAATGGTAATGTCAGTTAAAAAACAGAAGTAACTGTTTGATCCCGCAAATTTCAGAGAATACACAGATAATCCCATTATCTTGATATTCTCTGAGTGAAAAAAATCAATTTTAATTTATGATGACCTAAAATCCTAGTGCCATGCCTAAAGGCAATAGGAGGAACAGTCATCAAAGATGAAAAGGATGAGATCATGTGGTACAGACTTGACATAGGTATTACGTGCTGGTGAGATGGCTCAGTGGGCCAAGGCACCTACCCCCAAGCCTAAAGACCAGAGTTCCATCCTCAGAACCCACAAGGGAGAAAAGAAGGAGAGAACAGACTCCTGCAAGTTGTCCTCTGACCTCCACATGTGTACCATGGTCTACCACTCCTCCACAAACACTAAATTAAGCAAATCTTAAATTGCAAAGAAAAAGATTCAAACTCGATTCACTAGAAACAGTAAACCAAATCATCTAGGCTTTTCTACTACATATTACTGTTCATTTTGTATCTCACATATGAGATGAAACAAATGAATCCCCAGTTACCACCTTTAACCAAGCTTTCAGTTATCCTGTTTCCTTTGCAGTTAAGATTCATCCAACCACAATACTGAGGACATTTTGTAACTGAATAGATTTGTCATATAAAAAAGGTATGTATGATGGATCAAGAGTCTTCCCCCTCCAACACGCCCCAGGTTTTTCAAGACAGTTTCTCCGTGTAGCCCTGGCTGTCCTGGAACTCACTCTGTAGACCAGGCTGGCCTCGAACTCACAAATCTGCCTGCCTCTGCCTCCCAGGTGCTGGCATTAAAGGCGTGCACCACCACCACCTAGCAAGATTCTTAATCTTTCCAGGGCCCAGATTTTCTTCAACTGTGAAATGGAGCTAATAGCTATTCTGCAACACCCCAATAAAAGATTAACAAAACAGGACCTTATTTACAATATTTGCATATTGTAAAGAACTATGATTGAAGTCTATAATGAGTTTTTTTTAAACCAAGCATTAATAAATTTTATATTCATTTTCTACTTAAATTAGACTAAATTTTCAGATTACAAAAGTTACACATTTCTCCAGTATTTAAGATACACGGATAAAACAAAACAAATATGTTTATGAAATAACATGTTTCATAAAGAAAACTATCTTATATAAAATAAGCCTCTATAGATCAGGATTTCTCTTCTTTTTTCTTAAATAAATATCAACAAGCAGAAACTCAGCCAATAGAGGGGAAGAAAAAGAACAATCAGTGTAGATCACCCCCCGAACCAAGCATCTATTTAAAAGGAGGATCCAAGAAACTCAAGAGTCAAAGGAATGCTTTCCAAAGACGAGTGTAATTTGGAAGCCATGGCAGGAACAATCCAGCTCTTCTCACCTTGCTGTGATGCAGGTATAAGGACCTGTTGGGTCTGTGCTTGCTGAGGTACCGTTTGCTGAGGTTGCGCTTGCTGGTGGTGGTGGTGGTGGTGATGCTGCTGCTGTTGGGGTTGGTGTTGCTGCTGAACTTGCAACAAAAGCTGCTGCTCTTCTGAATGAAATCCATCTACTGCCCTAGACTGCATTAATTTATTCTCCCACAACTAAGACAAAGAAGAGTAAAGACTTCTCAGTGAGGTAAAGAAAACTCTGGACATACAGGCAAAACATTTATTACATGTTTAGACATTTCTCCCATTTTAAGAAATGATACAATCACAAAAAATTAGCCTTTATTTATTTATTATTATTAATATTATTATTATTTTTATTTACTTATTTTTTTTTTTTTTGGTTTTTCGAGTCAGGGTGTCTCTGTGTAGCTTTGGAGCCTGTCCTGGAACTTGCTTTGTAGACCAGGCTGGCCTCGAACTCAGTGACCCGCCTGCCTCTGCCTCCCAAGCCTTTAATTCTTGAATAAGAATTTTTTAAGTTTTATATAAGGAAATAAGTTTTATATAAGGAAAATAAACTTTAATCAAATTTCATCTTTATTACTTTAGCATACTGAAGAATTTTTTTTACATTCCAAGAAACTTTCTATACTAATTCCTTAATTGGCAGAAATTACTTAATAAAGCAGTTCCCAGAGTCAATATCTTAGTAGTCATAGCTTACCTTTTCATTTCAAAACCATTATTAAATTACTCTTATAGACCTTTGCTCAATACAAATTTTCTATCTCACCAGGCAGTTGTGGTGTATGCCTTTAATCCCAGCATTTGGGAGGCAGAGGCAGGTGGATCTCTGGCCAGCCTGGTCTACACAGAGAAATCCTGTCTCGAAAAAACAAAACAAAACAAACAAAAACCCCAAATTTTCTATCTCTTAGATAGCAGTCAACAGAACAAATATTCACCTCTCCTTCAGTAGAATGAGAAAGAGACATTCTAAATTAAGACAGACCAACTTCCTTTCCATTTGTCTCATCTTATAAGGAAAAGAAAGTGAGGCCTCAATGGTCATTCCAATCCTCCACATCTCATGAAATTTCCTTTCTTCCAATATGACAATCACTTTCCCCTTAGCCATTTCTACAGGCAGAACATAGCTAAACTGAAAATTCAAAATCTGCAATGTTTCAAAATATGTACTGTTTTGATTCTTGACATGACATGACCAGCAGAAAATTCCACCTGATGAAATTTTATTCTATGCACAAAATTATTTAAAAGTGTATAAAATTAGTTTCTGGCAATGTATACAAGGTATATATAAAACATAAGTGAACTTCACTGTATATTATATGCAAGTATTCCAAAATCTGAAAAAAAAAAATGCAAAAAGAAAATATTCCTGGGTTGGTGACACCTTTCAGATTAGGGATACCCAATCTGTATTCTCTCATTTCACCACAGGGGAAGTTCTCTAATGGGAGGAGGAAGGAGGAAGAGCCACCCAAGAAAGAAGAAACGAAAACATTTCCAATTATTTCATTCTTTCCTTAATATATTTGCTTACTGCTATGTTTAGTTTTAATTTAGAGCCTCACTTCCATAAGAAATTATCCAAGAAAGTAAAGCTGTAGCCCTAAAATGCAAATGAACAATTTGGTCATCTTTACACTAGCACATCTACATATACTGCTTTTAACTCCAGGACCTGCTCTTGGGATACTTACTGCTAATTCAGAGGCTTCTTCAAGATCCTCTCAGAGGCTCCTCCTGCCATACTCACAGATTTAAAACAAAACAAAAACCCTCACCTTTCCTCATCTAGACGACCTAGATGTATGACTACTTGCTAGTAACAACCTGAACATCTTTCCAAAGGTATACTGAAAGAATGAAGTCAAAGTCAGGTTCACAGTAAAACTATTTCTCTAGCAAGTCCAATACTTAAATGCCTGGTCTTTCTGTATGCTGTATGTTGTTCCCACTGGTTAAAAAATAAGCTGTTTGGCCTATGGCAAGGCAGCTCAGAGGCAGGCGGGAAATCCAGGAGAAAGACAGGGAGAAGAAATGCAGAGGAGAGGAGATACCATCCAGGGGGAACATGTGGCGACATATAGATTAATAGAAATGGAATGAATTTAGTTATAAGAGCTAGCTAGCAAGAAAATTGAGCCATAGACCATGGCCATGCAATTCATAATTGATATAAGCCTCTGTGTATTTACTTGAGTCTGAGCGGCTGCAGAACTAGGTGGGACACAGGAAAACTTCCAGCTATAGAAATCTATACTTAAAAAGATTCTAAACTGTATTCATAGTTATCAGAGTTTAAAAGTAGTGACCACTGAATGCTAGCTGCTATTACTACTGCAGTAGTGGCTTTAATTAGGTAACAGCATTACATCAGAGGTTGGGAAACCAGTTAATCCTGGTTTGTCTACTAATGTGACTCTATCATGTAACATTCTTAGACATTTTCCTCATCTAAAATTAAAGGAAAATTGATTTAGATTACTCCTAAACTTCCTAAGCCAGTAATAGAGGCTTCTACAAACACCACACTAAAAACTACTGGTTTCTTCCTGTAGCAACAAAGTATTACTTCCTCAGAGTCCAAATTGTCTGGCTGATCTCCCCAAAGTGGGCTAAAAGCAGGTCAAAACAGGTACGTGCATGACAAGTAAGACATATTATGATTAGTGTATTATATACGGTAAGTTTCTCAGACATGCTATTCACCTGAACCTCCCATCTTCCTCTTGCCCTTTTTCAAACTCAAAACAAAACCTAGTTTCTTATGAGTCAAAATCAAGGTGGAGGGGCTGCTGAGCTGGTTCAGGGGTTTAAGGCACACCAAGCTGACCATGGGTTTGATTCCTAGGACCCACACGGGTAGAGAGAACCAACCCCTACAAGTTCTCCTCTGACCTCCACACACACATGGTGGTTCGTATGCACACATATAGATGTGCACATACACAAATTTTTTCTTAAAAAAAAAAAAAATTGAAGTGTGAAGTAAAAGAACTATTACTATTTAAGAAATTGGTTTTTAAGCCAGGTGTAGTGGCACATGCCTTCACAGTACTTGGGAGACAAAGGCAGGCAAATTTTTCTGAGTTCGATGTCAGCCTGGTCAACATAGTAAGTTCCAGGACAGCTAGAGCTACATAGTGAGCGCCTGCCTTGAGGGTGTGAAAAAGGTTTTTTTGCACTACAATTTTCTAATTGAGATGATGATGGAGATCCAACCTAGTTCTTAAAGTTCTAACACTGGTCCAAAACCCCAATCCATCACACTTCTTTAAAAAAAGGTTTATCTTATTATTTTGTGTGTGTGTGTGTGTGTGTGTGTGTGAATATGGCACATGCTTGTGGCTGCCCTCACTAACCAGAAGAGTGTCAGATCCCCTGGAATTGGAGTTACAGGCAGTTTGGAGTCACCTGAAATGGGTTCTAGGAACAGAACTCTGGTGTTCTGGAAGAGCAGATATCACTCTCAATGACTAAGTCACTGCTCTAGCTCCCATTCCCACTTTTCTAAATTCATGGTTCACTTTTACTACCATCAATTAATTGGTCTACCCACTGTAATGAGAGCCCGTCATTCCAACGAAGCGTCTATGATAAGCAGAAATATTGACTACCTGTAATGTGCAGCTGAGCATACATTCAACTCCCCTATGTTCTCATGGCAAGGACGTAGCAATCAAAGTCATAACTAAAAAGGTGTAGAGTATTCTTCAGTGGCTAAGATTGCTTGCGCAGTTAGCATAAAAGAGAACCACAAATCCAGAACCACAAGAAAATAAAGAAAAAAGAGAAAGGGGGTAGGGGTGGCCATAGCAGCTGCAGAAGAGGGAAGCTAATTCTAAAGTGTGATCCCAGACCTATTCTATCAGCAGGTTTAGAAGTGAACCACAAGTGTTGTAATGAACTGTCCAGATTATTTGTGAGGCTTGCAAAAGTAAGAGTAGCTGTATTCAAGTCTAAACCAATGCTTTTCAAATTGAGGGTTGAAACCCATTAGTGGGTCATAAAAAGTCAATGCTGAATTTTATGAAAACCAAACTGAAAGGGAAATGCAACATAAATAGTTTCTGTATTTTTATTTGTTATACAGCGTGCATAGAAGCTTCAGAAACATTTTTTTCTGCACTATTAACAGTATTCATTTTCTAAATTTAGAAACACATCTTCTACTTAATTGTACCCAGAGTAAATCATAATCTGTAAATTATACAATATGTAATATTGTATATAATGTAGTATATAAAACCTATAATATATTCACCTTTATATTTGAGAAAATAGTCCACATTCCAACAGGAAGTCTAAAGCCATACTCGACTCAAATATGATACTTTTCCCTCATACATACATAACCATGATAAAGTTTAATTTGTAAATTATATACAGTGCACTAAAATTAGTAAAACACAACTATAAGGATATCCTATGATAAAACCTTTGTGACTGTGGTCTCTTTCTCAAGTACCTTACTGAATGTACTGTACTTGAGAAATCTTCTTCTCATGGGGATATGAAATACAATGCCTACGTGATAACATGGTAAGGCACACAGACACTGTGACAGAACAACTCTACGGGTTACCTGAACACAAACACTGTGCCATTGCCACAGGGACTCTGACTGACAACTAGGTGGACACTAAGTGATTAATGGATGAGTTGCATATGCACAACTGATAAGCTGGACAGAGAAATGGCTCAAACCTAGATACTACGCTGCTGGCTGGGGAGAGATTTCATCATTCTAATCAGAATGCACACAACTTAAACCTCACAAACTGCTTACTTCTGGAATAGTTCATTTAATATTTTCTAACAAAGCTGACCAAGGTAAACAAAACCTCAAAAAATAAGATCAGGAGTTAGAGAGAAGGATCAGAGGTTAAAAGCACTTCTGCTCTTCCAGAGGACCCAGGTTCAATTCCCAGCACCCACATGGCAGCTCACAATAGTCTGTAACCCCAGTTCCGAGGGATCCAATGGCCTCTTCTGGCCTCCACAGGCACCAAGCACACATGGGACAGACATACATGCAAGTAAAACACTTACACACAAAATCTATTTTTTAAGAAAGAAGACCATAGAGAAGGGGAAACTAATACGCTAACTAATTTTAAAAAAACGGCGGCTTGGTCCCATGCTACTACCCCATTTAGTCACACTCTGGAGTAGAACTT